AACAATACTGTTAAGACTGTTTGTTCTTATTCGATCGCGTGACACGCAACGCGTATATCCCAAACCCTCGATACCCGCCCTCTTTGTCTTCGACTGTACCCCCCTCGGGGGTATATCTTCCTTACCTGCCGCGCACATTTAGCGCAGCCCCTAAAACATGGGAAGGGGGGCGGATGGGGGAAGAACAAGACGGACCACGAGAAAGGGCCTCTCGGAGCAAATCGCGAGGAAACATCGAGCGGGAGCCCTTGTCATCGCGGCTGCGCAGGAAGTCTCCAGCGAGAGCGTTGCTCCTGAGTTCGGGGACCTCTCTGGCCAGGGCCTCCCGGAGTAAATCGCGAGGGAATATCGAGCGGGAGCCTTGTAGTCGCGGTTGGGTATCCGCGAACTTGATTGACTTGCGAAGAACTCTCATGCGAGAGCGCCATTCCTGGGGCCTCTGCGGGCTGGGGCTTGTGAGGGCGCGCTTGGGGCCTCTGTGGGCTGCGCTTGGGAGCCTCAGTGGGCAGCGCGGTGGGACCTCTGCGGGCGCGCTTGGGGCCTCTGTGGGCTGGGGCCTCTGTGGGCTGGGGCCTCTGTGGGCTGTGTCGGGGGACTCAGTGGGCAGCGCGTCGGGGCCTCAGTGGGCGCGCTCGGGGCCTCTGCGAGCCGGGGCCTCCCTCTGCGGGCGCGCTTGGGGCCTCTGTGGGCTGTGTCGGAGGGCCTCTGTGGGCGCGCCTGGGGCCTCTGCGGGCTGGGGCCTATGTGGGCGCCGTTGGGGCCTCTGTGGGCTGCGTCGGGGGGCCTCAGTGGACAGCGCGCTGGGGCAAGGCCCTGTGTGGGCTGGTGCCTCTCTGTGGGCTGCGTCGGGGGCCTCAGTGGACAGCGCGCCGGGGCCTCCGTGCGCGCGCTTGGGGCCTCTGCGGCTGGCGCGTTTGGGGCCTGTTTGGACTGCGTCGGAAACCTCAATGCGCGGGGCCGCTGTGGGCGCGCTTGGGGCCTGTGTGGGCTGGTGCTTCAGCGGGCGCCCTTGGGGCCTCTGTGGACTGTGCCGGAGGGCCCCAATGGGCAGCTCGCGGGGGCTTTTGTGGGCGCGCTTGGGGCCTCTGTGGGCTGCGTCGAGAGTCTCAGTGGGCAGCGCGTTGGAGCTTCTGTGGGCGCGCTTGGGGCCTCAGCGGGCTGGGGCCTCTGTGAGCGCGCTTGGGGCCTCTGTTGGCGGCGGCGGGGGCCTCAGTGGGCAACGCGCGGGGGCCTGTGTGGGCGCGCTCGGGGTCTCTGCGGGCTGGGGCCTCTGTGGGCGCACGCCTTCGGGGCCTCTGTGGGCTGTGTTGGGGCGCCACAGTGTGCAGCGCGCTGGGACCTCTGTGGGCGCGCTCGGGGCCTCTGTGGGCTGGAGCCTCTGTGGGCTGCGTCGGGAGCTTCTGTGGGCTGCGTCAGTGGGCAGCGCGCTGGGGCCTGTTCAGGCGCGCTTGGGGCCTCTGCGGGCTAAGGTCTCTGTGGGCGCGCTTGGGGCCTCTGTGGGCTGTGTCGCAGGACTCGGTGGGCAGCCCGCGGGGGCCTACGTGGGCTCGCTTGACGACTCTGCGGGCTGGGGCCTCGGTGGGCGCGCGCTGGGCCTCTGTGGGCCTTGTCGGGGGGCCTTAGTGGGCGGCGCGCTGGAGCCTCCGTGGGCACGCTTCCGGGCTGGGGCCTCTGTGGGCTGGGGCATCAGTGGGCAGCGCGCGGGGGCCTCTGTGGGCGCGCTTGGGGCCTCTGTGGGTGCGCTTGGGGCCTCTGTGGGCCTTGCCGTCGTGGCTGGGCCCCCGCCAACTTGATCGAATTGCCAGGAAATCTCGAGCGAGAGCGCCGTTCCCGAATTCGGGGGCCTCTCTGGCCAGGGCGTCTCGAAGTAAATGTGAGGAAGTATCGAGCGGGAACCGTTGTTGTCGTAGTTGGGCTTCCAAGGGCGCACTTTTAGGGCCAAACCAACGCTCGAGCGGGAACTTGGTTGCTTATATAAAAAAGAAAGAAAATATAGCCGGCGTCGAGGCGAGAGCACCCGGAACCGTTTCCGGATATCCGCACTACTCATTCTCTAAACATCATGATTACACAACAACAATAACGACAGCAACAGCAACAACAGCAACAACAACAACAACAATAACAACAACAACAACAACAACAACAACGACAGCAACGACAACAACAACAACAACAACAACAACAACAACAACAACAACAATGACAACAATGACAACAATGACAACAACAATCATGTTAATACTGTTCGCTCTTAGCTGCTCGCGTGTCATTCAACATGCATATCCCATACCCTGGATCCCCGCCCTCTTCGTCTTCGATCGTACCCCCTCTTGGGGGGTATATTCATTCCCTGCCACGCGTGGTTGGCGAAGCCCTTGAAAACGCAAGCCAACGAATAACGGGGGATAGTGAGGGCGAAGGGAACAGAGGAAGGGAGGGGAGGGGCAAGAAGGAGGGAGGACGATGATTTGCGCTGCGAGTGGCAATTCAGCTTGCGCCAGCCACCCCAACACAAGTTAACGATCGGTTTCGCCATGGGTCGCGCCATAAGCAACGCCTCGTGCCACCCCCTTGAAAGAACATATCGTGGATACCCCCACGGGGGGACGTACAGCTGCGAACTGGTGTCAGAGACAAATTTCGTGGAACCCTGAAAAGAAACGGGATGTTGGGAGAATGGGGCGGAGGGATAATGAGAAATGCAACCGTGTCGAGAGGAGCGCGGGGACGTGGAACGGATTGGGATGGAGTGGACAAGAGTAGGGTCTCAGGAGGAGGAGCGGCAAGGAGTGGAGAAGAGGAGCCGGGAGGAGTGCGGAGGAGCGGGGGGCGCACGGAGGAATCTGGAGGAGGGGCTGGAAATAATTAGGGAGAAATGCGGAATGCGAGCGGGAAGGGGTGGAGATTGTTGGGGTGGGATGGGGTGGCCTGGGGAGGAGTGGGCGGACTGCGAAGCAATGAAAAGTAGCACCATGGAGTACGAACGACACGGAAATGAAAATAAGGGGAAAGAGTAAAGAAGACTTGGAAAGAACGTTGGAAAGTGGGGGCAGGTTAGCTACGAGCGGAGACTGGTGCGGAAACAAGGCGCGGGGGGGATTGGAAGGCACCCGAAAACCTCCTATGACCTCTGGGGGGCCTCGGAATGGCCCCGATGACCACCGAGCGGCAGGGTCGCGCGGGCGGGTCGAGCGGGCGGGCCGCTGAAGCGTAAATTCGGCTTGAACCGCCAGGCAATATGTAGCGGGAGCGCGATTCCTGAGTGCCGAGGAGCGGCATCTGATCAAATTGTGAGGAAGTATCAGGCGGGAGCCGCGACTCGGTGGTAAGTTGCGAGGAAGTCCCAAGCGAGAGTGCGATTCACCAATACATTGTGAGGAAGTATCAAGCGGGAGCCGTGATTCGGCAGTAAATTGCAAGGAAACCCACCACCACTACCACCACCACCAATCAACCACACCACTACCACCACTAGCGCCACAACCACAACCACCAATACCACCACCACAACCCGCCACCTCCATCACCACCACAATCCACCACACCACCACCACCACAAACCACCACACAACAACCACCACAACCAACACAAACCACCACACCACCACCACCACCACCACCACCACTACATCCACCACCCCACCACCATAACCTACCACCACCACCATCACCACCACCACCACAAACCACCACACCACCACCACCACCACCAGCACCAGCACCACCTCCACAACCCACCACCACCACGACAAACCACCACACCACAACCACAACCACCGCCACCACCACCACCACATCCCACCACCACCACCATAAACCACCACACCACCACACCACCACCACCACCCTCCATCACAACCACCACAACCACATCAAACCACCACACCACCACCACCACCACCACAACCACCGCCACCACCACCACCACAACGCACCACCACCCCAACCACTACCTCCACTACAACCACCACGACAAACCACAAACCACCACTGCCACCACCACCACCACAACGCACCACCAACACATTTACCACCACCATCATCACCAGAAACCACCACACCACCACCACCACCGCCACCACCACCACCACACCACCACACCACCACCACCACCACCGCCACCACCACCATGACCACCACCATCACCACCACCACCACAGCCCACCACCACCAGCACCACCTCAGCGAGGCCCCAGGAGACGCCCAAGAGGCGCCCAGGAGGCTTCACAAATGCCCTTAGGGGGCCCCCGAGAGGCCACCGACGAGACCCCAAGAGGCATCCAGCACAAAGACTCTGACCCAAAGCCAAAGCACGGTGGCGGAGCGTCGTCGTCGTCGTCGTCGTCGTCGTCGTCGTCGTCGTCATCGTCGTCGCCGTCGTCCTCATCGACGCTCCCCGCCGCTGCCGCCAGCCGCCGCAGCCGGCCTTCATCCTTGAAGCTGTTCCAATTCTTTAACACGAAAGCGCACGGAACCAAGGCGAAAACCACATTGTGAAAACGAGCTGGCCTCCATCACTGAAGCTGCCACAATTGTTTAAGACGAGTGTGCGCGGCACCAAGGCGAGGAGCTACATGTTGCAAACGACCCGGGCTCCATCCTTGAATCTGTTGGCACTTTCAAGCTTCAGGATCAGAATTGGCGAGGGAGTCTCAAATGAAACGCCCGGCCGGCCTACGGACACGTCCGGTGGTGCCACAGGGAGCGAGCTGTCTAGTAACAAGGAGAAGGAATGGCGGAGCGATCCACAAACCGCCACCTTCCCCAGGGTTGGCGCGCCCCGCAGGGCCCGGCAGCGGGCCACTCTACAGCACACGGTGGGGCCCGGAGCTCCCGCGCCTTCCCCTGGGGCAGCCTGGCGTCCTGGAAACCTCTCGGATGGTCCAGGGCCCCAAAGCGGCCTCCCGAGGCCAAAATCGAGGAAACGGCGCCGCGACAGCCAGCCAAGATCGTGCCTGAAGGCTAGCGGGGGGGACCGGGGTGCGGGGAGCGCAGGCCTGCAGCCAGCCCCGCCGGGCAGCCGCCGCCACTCCACGCGGGGTGCTCCAGGCCAGAGCCCCGGCTGCCCTGGCGGGCAGGCGGCGCCTGCGCGGGCCAGCGGGCAGCAAGGGGAGGTCTGGTCTGCTCCGGGGGCGAGGGCGGAGCGGCCAGGCAGGGAAGGGGCGAGACAGGGAGGGGGCGAGGCAGGGAGGGGGCGAGGCAGGGAGGGGGCTAGGGGGAGGCCCTCCTCCCTCGATCTCGACCTTCCGCACCCTCCTCGAAGGCAGGCGCCGCAGCGGCGGCCGCTGAGGCGGCGGCCGCGGCGGCGGTTTCGGTGGCCCCAGTCGAAGACACAGCAGTGGCGCAGCGGACGCGCTCTTCCCGTGACCTTCCAGGAGGGCTGAATAACTAGCAGCAGGACTTTTCGAGCTTGAGTTCTGGCCGAAGCTCTGTGCAGTCCTAATAGGCCAACAGGTCTGGATGAATAGATCTGGCACTCTGGAAAGTCAGGTTTATTTTATGCCAGCCCTGGAAGAAGTCTTCGAATTTCCAGAATGGTAGCCAGGGCGTTGGTGATTGAGCCGGCGTGCAGTAGCAGCGTGCCCATTCCATACCATCACCACGGCCATCATGATCATCATATCATCATACCATATCATATCATATCATATCATCATCATCATCATCATAATCATCATCATCATCATCATCATCATCATCATCATCATCATCATCATCATCATCATCATCATCATCATCATCATCATCATCATCATCATCATCATCATCATCATCATCATCATCATCATCATCATCATCATCATCATCATCATCATCATCATCATCATCATCATCATCATCATCATCATCATCATCATCATCATCGTCATCATCATCATCATCATCATCAGCATCATCATCATCATAATCATCATCATCTTCATCATCATATCATCGTCATCATCATCATAATCAGCATCATCATCAACATCAGCATCGTCATCATCATCATCAACATCATCATCAGCAGCACCAGCATCAGCATCATCATCACCACGACCATCATCAACCTAATAATAATCATCATCATCATCAATAACAACAACATCACCAACACCACCATCATCATCAACACCATCATCATCAACACCATCATCATCGTCCTCATCAGCATCATGATCATGGTCATGATCATTGTCATGATCATGGTCAGCATCGTCATCATCATACTCATCATAATCAGCATCTTCTTCATCATCATCGTCATCATCGTCGTCATCATCATCACCATCACCAACATCATCATCATACTAATCATCATCATCACCATCATCACCAGCATTCTTCATCATCCTCAGCATGAGCATCATCATAATAATCTTCATTATTGGCGTCCTCGTCATCGTCATCACCATCATCGACATCTCAGCATCACCATCATCATCATCATCATCATCGTCAGCATCATCATCTTCATCTGCATAATCATCATCACCATCATCGCCATCATCATCATCATCGTCATCATCTTCATCAATACCACCACCACTGCGCCAATCATCACCAATCACCAAATTCGCCGCCGTTATCATCATCATCATCATCAGTATCATCATCGTCATCATCATCATCATCATTATCGACTTCACCATCATGCCCATCATCATCGTCGCCATTACCACCATTGGCACCAGCATCGTCGTCGTTATCGCCGCCGCCATCATCACCATCGCCATCACAATCCTCCTCGTCGGCGTCACACTCGCCATCAACGTCATCGCGAACGTCGCGTCATCATCACCATCATTCCAAGCATCGGTGACATCATCATCGTTATAATCACCATCATCAACAGCATCATCATCCTCATCCTCATCTTCATCGTCATCAGTATCATCAACATCATCATCATCATCATGACCAACACCATCACCACGATCATCATCATCATCATCATCATCATCATCATCGTCATCATCAGCATCATCGCCATCACCATCCTCCTCGCTACCATCATCGTCTTCACCACCATGCCCATCATCATCGTCGCCAGTACCATCATCAGCAGCATCGTCGTCGCCATCGCCGCCGCAATCATCACCAGCTCCATCATAATTGTCATCGTCGGCGTCACACTCGCCATCAACGTCATCACGATTGTCGCCGTCATCGTCACCAGCAGTCCCATCATCGGTGGCATCATCCATTTCATTACCATCATCATCATCAGCAGCAGCATCATCATCAACATCACCACCACCACCATGATCATCATCATCATCATCATCATCATCAGCAGCAGCAGCAGCAGCAGCAGCACCATCGCCATCACCATCACCGTCACCCTCCTTCTCGCCACAATCGTCGTCTTTGCTATCATCGCCATCATCCTCACCATCTGATCATCAGCAACATAATCGGCATTAGCATCATCCCCATCACCACCATCAGCATGCATCATCAGCCGAAGCATCGCTACCACCATCATCACCAGCGTCAACACCACCACCATCATCG